TCTTTCCCTGGAGGGACACATCCTGCTAAGTCCAGAAGAAAAACTGCATGTATGTTAGGCTTGGCAGTGCCATGATATGCAACGGTTGCTTGACTGGACTCCCAATGCCTTTGTTCACAGTTGGAACAGATTATAATAATAATAATCCTTGTATTTGATATAGCGCCTTATCGTATTTTCCAGATGTCTCAAAGTGCTTCACAGAATATACTGCAAAGTGTATTGACTGTATATTTTGTAGGCAGAACATGGCAGCTATTGTGCAGCAGGGTCCCACAAACAGTCGTGGATTTAGTGACCAAATTATTATTGTTTCTTTGAAGGGATTATTACCCCCTGAAAAGCGATCCGCCAATCAACTAACAACCTACTTACTGCTAAGTAAATAAACAGAGCTGTGTGGCGCAAAGAGACTTGCCTAAGGGTTCGCTTTGTCGGGAATGGAATTCAGATCCTTTTGGTTGCAAGACGAGTGCTCTAACCACTGAGCTATGGACCTCCCAATGCCTTTGTTCACAAATGGAACAGATCGAACACACCTGTGGTTCCTCAGTGTGGGAAAGTGCCTTGAGGAAAGAAAGGGAGAAAAAGCTGGTAACTGTGCGTCATAATGTATACTAGACATCTTCATTTTCTCACACGACTGAGTTGTTGGGTCACAGTAGCTCAGACTGACAACAACAACTCGTTTCACAAACAGGTTCGATTCCCAGGCAAGGTGAAACCTCAGGCAAGTTTCCTTACTCCACACATCTAGCAGTACGTAGGAACTCGGTTGTTAGTCGATTGGCAGATCACTTTTCTGGCAGTAATAATCCTCAAAATAATGATAATAATAATTTGGTCAATCAATTCCACGACTGTTTGTGGGACACTGCTGTACACAATTGGCTGTTGCATTTCATCCACAAAATATACAGACAATTCACTTTACAGTATATCATATGAAGCGCTTTGAGACATCTCAACGACACGTCCATTGCATGGAGAGGCATCACATAGCCCTGAAGTAAAAGGAATATAACCTTAACCTCCACTACCAGGTGGTCATTATTCATCAACAACAACAACAAAAACATTTATAGAGTGCCTTTCACGTCAGGAGGACAGTCAGGGGTCAGGACCCGAGCATGGGGGAGGGGTGGGGTAGGGGTGAGGGAAGGCAGAGAGGTGGGAGGGCGACTGAAGGCATGATTCAAGAGGAGGGTCTTGAGACCGGCCTTGAAGGAGGCAAAGGAGGAACGAGATGAAGGGACCGTGGGATGGAGTTCCAGAGTGTGGGGGCAGAGAGGCTGAAAGCCCGGCCACCGATGGTAGGGGCGAGACATGGAGCAGACCGGAGCCCTCTGAACGCAGGGAGCGGGCAGCTTGGTAGGGAGTCAGCAGGTCAGAGAGGTAGGAGGGGATAAGGCCATGGATGGCCTTAAAGGTGAGGATGAGGATCTTGAATTGGATCCTCTGGGGAATGGGGAGCCAGTGGAGTCGGGCGAGGGTGGGAGTGATGGGGTCGGGCGAGGGTGGGAGTGATGGGGTCGGGCGAGGGTGGGAGTGATGGGGTCGGGCGAGGGTGGGAGTGATGGGGTCACTGGTGTGTGAGAGTACACGAGCTGCAGAATTTTGGATGATCTGCAGTTTGTGAAGGGAAGAGTTGGGAAGGCCGATGAGGAGGGAGTTCCTGTAATCGAGCCTTGATGTGAGGGTTTGGGGACCTGAGGGGTGAGGCAGTGGCGGAGTCTGGCAATGTTGCGGAGGTGGTGGTAGGCAGTGCCGGTAATGGCGCGGATGTGGGGAAGAAAGGACAGTTCAGGATCAAACAAGACACCCAGGTTCCTGACCGGCTGTGTGAGGTTGAGTGTGCAGCCGTGGAGGCTGATGCTGTCAGCGCACAAAGTGATATTTTAATTTTTATGGTAATACAATTTAAGTGTGACCTTGTCAGTTTTTTATTCATATAATTATTAATAATGATTTACTGTAATTGTTGGATTATGCATCAGATAAAAAATCTGATATGACTTTTTTTTACAATTAACAATAAAAATGTTAAAATAGGTTGGAGATGGAATGCGGTGAGAGAAATGGAGCAGAATGGTACTGATTTTACATTAATTACAGTAATAAAAATGGGTTTACGTTTGTAACCTTAACCTACTTCAGGGCAGACTGTAGAATTCTGCAATTAATGTGTTAAGTAATATCTCGAATTATCTTTGAGATGTTTATATATTTAAGACACATGATCAACCTCATATGAGGAGAACTGGTTGCGACGAGCTTCGAAGAAGATCCTTGCTCAAGGAGGAGAAACAAATAACTGTTTATAAACAACAAACTGGTTTCATTCCTTATCAGTCATTTTCTCATGGAAAAATGGTCTGCAGCTGGAGAGAGCCAGAGAGAGGTCACCTAATCAATGGTATAAACAGAGATCGATTCAAAAGAGAAAGGAGGAAATTGGAACTTGGAGTCGCAAACTGTATTCCAGCTTCTAAAGAAGGAAGATCAAGACTACAATTTAAACAACACTAAATGTACAATAATACCTGGATACTTCAGGTGATATTGAACTGGAAACCCTACAACAATATTTGCATACCTTTTGAGGACTTATATTTGGATTCAAATGGGACATTAAATTGGACATTGCTCCTCTATCTCTCCCGCAGCATTTGTTAGTCAACTTAAATTGTTGTGAACTACAGTATATCTGGGTACGTAAGCATAATTGGATGTATTCTTTTAATTACTTATAACCATTATATAATGTAGAATTATATAGTAGATAAAAAATTTGGTCAGTCAATCCACGACTATCTATGGGACTCTGCTGTGCGCAATTGGCTGCCGCATTTCACCCACAAATATATGGTTAATTCACTTTACAGTATATTCTGTGAAGTGCTTTGAGACGTCCCGAAGATATGAAAAGCGCTATATCAATTGCAAGGATTAGTATTAATTTGAATTAATAAACCTTGATTAATTGTCAGTCCTTACTTCACCCCAGGGTCATGAAAAAAAATTAACCCTTACAATGTGTGGACTTTCATGACAGATTTTACGAGTCATGGGGGGTGGATTATGGGAGAAAATCACAACAACTTGCTGTAGCTCACCTGGGTCCGATTCCCGGCAGAACGAAACCTTGGGCAAGTTTCCTTACTTCACACGCTTGATAATAATCCTTCAAAAAAAAAATTGGTCACTTCAATCCACACTGCTGTGCGCAATTGGCTGCCACGTTTCGCCCACAAATATACAGTCAATTCACTTTACAATCTGTTCTGTGAAGCACTTTGAGACGTCGAGAAGATGTGAAAAAGCACTATATCAAATGCAAGGATTATTAATCTATGAACTGGCACCTTCAGTTGGTATCACTCTCACCTTTGAGTCAGAAGATTGTGAGTTCAAATCTCCAATGTAAGGACGTTAAACTCAGTGACACTCCAATACAGTGACTGGTGTGGGTCACGGCAATATTAGAAGTGTCGTTCTTAGGATGAGACATTGAACCAAGGTCCCAGATAAAATTAGTCATTTAATTCATGGTTGTTCGTGTGACATTGCAGTGTGCAAATTTAAGCCACTTGGCTTGTGTTAACCATAATACAGGGCTTGAACCCACCATCTTCTGACCCACAGATGAGAATGCTGTGCCTGACTGATACCAGCTTGTGATACAACAACTACTCAGATTAAGACACCAGAGTTCCTCTCTCTCTCTCTCTCTCTCTCTCAGGGTAGGCTAATAACTAACTTGACAAGGAGCAGGAAGCTTGCCAGACAATGCTCTCAATAAAAAGCTACATGGTTTTGGAGATTACCCCAAAGCTTGACTCTCATCCCGGTGAAAAAGCGCTTAGTCCATTACAGACAAACAGCAACTTCCATGCGTATGGGGAACTCTCAATCTGACTTGGATATTCCTAACCATGACAATAATAATTATAAATAAATAATAATAATCCTTAAATTTGCTTTCTCACATCATTTAGATGCTATGGATTCCACATTGCGCCTTTCACATCAGGAGAACATCTCAAAGTGCTTCACAGGATGTACAGTATTGTAAAGTGGAGTTGTAAAGACTGTGTTGTTTTGTGGGCAAAAAGTTTTTGTGTGTGTCACACACCCTGCTGACCCCAACAGTAGTGGTGCCTTGACCACAGTTAGCCACTGAAGAGGAACCAAGGCAACTTCTCCATGGCCACAGTTAGCCACTGAAGAGGAACCAAGGCAACTTCTCCATGGCCACAGTTAGCCACTGAAGAGGAACCAAGGCAACTTATCCATGGCCAAAGTGAGTGAGTGTCACTGCCATCCTGTAGCTCAGTGGTTAGAGCACTCGCCTCGCAAGCGAGAGGACCTGGGTTTGGTTGCCGGGCCGGGCGAAACGTTAGACACGTTTCCTTACTTCACACTCCTGTTTACCGAGCGTAAGTAGGAACCTGGTTGTTAGTCGATTGGCAGATCGCTTTTCAGGGGCATATAATCCCTTCAAAAATTTTTTTTAATATTTGTCCACTCGGTCCAGTGTTTGTGGGACGTTGCTGTGTGCAATTGGCCGCCGCATTTTGCCCACAAAATATACAGTCAATTCACTCCACAGTATATTCTATGAAGTGCTTTGAGACGTCTTGAACAGATGATATGGCGTTAGATCAAATGCAAGGATTATTATTAATATTAATAACACGAGCCCAAAAGTAGCCCAGTATTATGCATCACCTCCTTCATAGGTAGCGGAGTGACTGGTTTAGGTCAGTGCTTCTGAAACTGTGTGAGAAAAGGCGAGAAAAAACAGGTTTGAAGGTCGAAATTGAAGTTTGTTGAAAAGTGAGGCACCCGCCCAATAGGGCGCGAAACCCGCCCAGTTGGGCGTAAAACCCGCCCAACCCGCCCGCGCGGGAGTCGCTGTCCTCTCGCGAGAGCCGGCGGCGGCGGGGGGGGGGGGGGGCGCCGCCGCTATTTAAGGCGTCACTTGCGTCATTTCCGGCCTCTCAGGATCCGGCCGCCGCGAGGATGAGGTGAGCGCCTCTCTCTCTCCGGGTCGCGCGGGGCCGCACAATCCGCCGCCATCCGCCGCCCACCGCCCCGATACCCGTGTCGGCGTCCTCACCCGCACCTGACACGCGCTCCGGCGCCAGGAATGGCCGTCCCCCGAACGGCGGCGGCGCCATTGGAAACGCGATAGAATTTCAGGCGGTTTGGGGGGTGGAGGGGGTCCCGGGGCCGCTGCCCCTGGTCCGTCCCCTCTGCATCACTTACAGTGGAGGGGGCGAACCCCCCCTCTCCCCCCCCCCCCCCGCACCACCAGAGCCATAAGTCCCTGAGGCACTGGGCTTGTTCCGGGCAGCGGCTGTGGCCGCGCGTTAATAATAATAATAATATTAATAATAATAGTGTGTAATAGTCATTGCATGTGGTGCAGCGCCTTATCAAGTCGCAGAGCCGTCTCGAAGCGCCTGACGGGGTATCACTGTGAAGTGGATCAAATTGAGCCGCGTTTTGTGGGTGAAACGTGGCAGCCATTTGCACACAGCGGTAGCCTCCCCGACCTGCTCTCTGGAGGCAAGTGCAGCGATCCTGGGAGTTGTACGTGGAGCCTTCGGGAAAAGATTGTGTGATGATGGGGGGGAGAGGACATGAAATGGTCAGACTGGACGCCACATTATGTTCAGCTGCAGTTCACCTTGGGGAACCCCACCCTTTGAAACTCCATCCCACAGTCCCTTTATTTTGCTCCCTCACTTGCCTCCTTCAAAGCACGTCTCAGGACCCTGCACTTTGACTGCCTTCGGCCACCCTCGTACGCCTACCCTCCACCCCTCATGATCCCAATTCCCAGCTCAAGTCCAAATCTCTGACTGTCCAGCGCCTTGAGACGTCCTCCTTGTGTGAGAGCAACTATACAAATGTAGGGTTTGTACAGAGTTCGTCATTCAGAACTCTGCAGCTCGTGTACTGTCCCGCACCAGGCTTCGGGACCACATCACTCCCACCCTCGCTCGCCTCCACTGGCTCCCCATCCCCCAGAGGATTGATTTCAAGATCCTCATCCTCACCTACAAGGCCATTCACAGCCTCGCTCCCTCCTACCTCTCCGACCTACTACACCCCTACCTACCTGCCCGTACCCTCCGTTCCTCTGGCTCTGGTCTGCTCCACATCCCCCGCCCCAACCGCCCTACTATCGGTGGCCGGGCCTTCAGCCTCGAGGCTCTGGAACTCAGCCCCGAGGCTCTGGAACTCTATCCCCCAGTGCCTTCGCCGCTTCCTCCCTTTCCTCCTTCAAGGCCGGTCTCAAAACCTTTCTCTTTGACCGTGCCTTCAGCTCCCCTCTCGACTCTCTTCCCTCCCTTCCCTTCCCTCCCCCTGACCATTTCCCCCCTCCTCGGGTCATGACCCAACTGTGCAGCGCCTTGGGACGTCCTCCTGATGTGAAAGGCGCTTTATAAATGGAATCTTGTTGTTGTTGTAGATGTTGTGTACACTTCTGTAACTGATACAGCTCATAATGTATTATTACCTGCTCTTTTTTCTTTGCAGTAAAGTCACTCGTGATACCTTGTATGAAGCTGTTCGGGAGGTCCTTCAGGGATCCCAACAGAAGACTCGCAAGTAAGTGAATTGGTCCCGTGGATATGAGTGCTGTCGTAACACTGACGGCAGGCTAACCAACAACTTGCATTTAGATAGTACACCTCACGCAGACCTGTGTTAGCGGAGGGGCTGGTGACTGAAGTGTATGGGGGAAGGGGTGGAGTGTCCTAGAAGTACTTGGTCGTGTTATGACTGTGGGTTTGACAACAGCAAATGGCATTTATTTAGCGCGTTTGATGTCAGGAAGATGTCCCAAGCCGCTGGAGAGTTAAGTATCTGCACCACTGGTGGGGGTAAGGGGATGACCGAAGGTATGGTCAAGGAGGGAAGGCTTTGAAGAAGGCAAGCGAGTGGGTGAGGTGGAGAGATTCTGAGATGGAGTTCCATGTTGGGACTTCGGGTATCACGTTCTAGGCTAATATTCCGAGGAGGTGCTTGGAACTTTGGGAAGTCTGTTAAACAAACAACAACAAGATTATATTTGTATAGCGCCTTTCATGTCGGGAGGATGTCCCAAGGCGCTGGACAGAGTACAGCATTTCAGAACTGAGGTTGAGGAAGGGGAGGGTGGCTGATGGCATGGTCGAAGAGGAGGGTCTTGAGACGGGACTTGAAGGAGGCTAAGGAGGGTACGAGGCAGAGTGACTGGGGGATGGAATTCCAGAGGTTGGGGGCTGAGTGGCTGAAGGCTCTCCCGCCAATGATGGGGTGGTTTGGTCGGGGAATGTGGAGCAGCCAGAGCCGGCTGAGTGGAGGGAACGGGCTAAATTAAATTTTTGAATTAAATTAAAACTAAATTAAAGTTAAATTCCAACCACCTATTCAGGTAGAATTTAAAAATCCCCGGACACGAGGGGCGGATCCCTGTTAGTGGACCCAGTTTTTTGAGCTCTTTAGATAATTGCTTGATAAATGGCCAATTTCCAGCTCGTCGGGTAGATGCTGATGTTGCTTTTCTGCAAAAAGATAGTGGTGATGGAACACCTCGGAAGGTAGCTGTTTTGGTGTGTCAGAGGATCGGTGTAGTTTCTGGTATAGTCCCCATAGACCCACACTCAACTGGAGTGTTTCACAAAATGTATTCTAAAATTAATTGACTGTATATTTTGTGCATGAAACATGGCAGCCATTTGCGTACAGCAGTGCTACAAATGGATAAATGCTACATAAATGGGAGTAAATCTGGACCCTGGTGAATTTTCTAATATAATGGCCACATGTTTGGCTGATGTTTATGTATCTTATCTAATTGCTAATGTTTCTCCTCTCTGTGCACAGGTTCCTGGAGACGGTGGAACTACAGATCAGTCTGAAGAACTATGACCCTCAGAAGGACAAGCGTTTCTCTGGCACCGTCAGGTTCGACTCATTGATCAACCCAGCTTTCAGTGCACAAGCTGCAGAACAATTGGCCGATCGATCTGATCAAATATTGTAGATATTCACTAGACTAAAGCAGCTTGTGGTTTACTGACTGACTTGGGTAGTCCTGCTCTGTAAGGGGGTTTGGACGGACCCCTACCCTGGGTCTTAAAACATGAGGGGAGGCGAGGGGAAGCAATATTGCTGATCCCGCCGCCCATTTGTAAATGTTGCTGGTGGATAAAGCAACTGAGAAGCCAGCAGTAATGGTAAGGTTAGTAAAGGCTTTCCTAGCCCATCTCTGTGATCAGCCACATCACTGGGCTCTGACCGTGTGCTGTTGTGTCTGTAGGCTGAAGAACGCCCCTCGTCCCAAGTTCTCGATCTGTTTGCTGGGAGACCAACAGCACTGCGATGAGGCCAAGGCTGCGGACATCCCTCACATGGACATCGAGGCTCTGAAGAAGCTCAATAAAAACAAGAAACTGGTCAAGAAGCTTGGTGAGTTTTGTGTCTGTAAAGGTAGCCTTATGTTTCAACAGGAGTCAAGTAGAACAAGCTGCACATTGATTAAAGTGTTGAAACTAACTTTTTAGAATAAAGGTGCATTATAAACCTCCTCACTCCCCATTGGGGAAAAGTATTTTTTAATATAGCTCCCCCAAAAAATGCCCATGACACTGCTAGTTGCAGGACCTTTCCGATGAGGTATAAATCATGTCTCTTTGTCGATCGCTTATATACAAGATACACTTGACACAGACAGACACTTTGTTTTTATTAGTATAGATAGTGCCAGATCTGGTATGAGCTGCTGGCACTCTGTAAACTGACTTGTGAAGGAATAAGAATGGACAAAGAGTGGTCTTGTTTGCTGCCTGCTACCCGATGAGCATGGGGAGGGGGTGAAATGCTCTTTAGTTGTTGAAGGGTTAATATTTGCCTGATGTTCAGCTTGACCTTTAGTTCATAGTACTTTCCTGGCCTTACCTTCAGCTGAGACCTTAATTTTTTTCATTGCAGCAAAGAAGTACGATGCTTTCCTTGCCTCTGAGTCGCTTATTAAGCAGATTCCTCGTATCCTGGGCCCTGGTCTGAACAAGGCTGGTAAATTCCCTTCTCTCCTCACTCACAACGAGAACATGGTGTCAAAAGTGGACGAAGTCAAGTCCACCATCAAGTTCCAGATGAAGAAGGTAAGTTTGCAGAGGTAGAAATCCTGTCTCGGGATCTCTGACTGCTGAAAGGGGAACAAGGCTAATGTGTTATAATAGAGGGTAAACAGAGCTGTTTTGTATAAAGCGAGGGCTGCTGGAAAGCAATATCAATGACAAGCTATTGTGGCTTTAGAGCCTTGTCCCTCGCCAACCTGCACCTAATATTTTCCGGAATTAGGTAAGCAGGGTACATCCCTCCGGGGAGAGAATGAGGGTTCCATTCAAACAATCTTATCTCTGGGATTTTCATGTGTAAGTGGGATGCATGAAAATCTCAACTTGGTTTGAATACTTTAAGCATCGTGATGGGTTTCCGCATGTGTCAGACACCTGGCTGGGCNAAAAAAACATTGACCCAAACTTCGCAAGTAGACAGGGATGGCACTCACAATTATTAGCTGGATTCAGAGTAGAGGTGTCGAGAGGTCTGTGGGGTTTTAGTGTAATTGTGAGTTGACCCAGTAATGTCTGGAGACTGAAGTGACTGCGTTCCCCAGGTGCTGTGCTTGGCGGTTGCTGTAGGTCACATTAAGATGACTGAGGAGGAGCTGGTCTACAACATTCACCTAGCCATCAACTTCCTGGTCTCGCTGCTAAAGAAAAACTGGCAGAATGTGCGTGCGCTGTACATCAAGAGCAGTATGGGTAAGCCCCAGCGCCTCTACTAACTGCTGGGTGGACTATATACAATAAAGTCTTTTACAAAATTCATGTCTCCGGGTCTGAATTTTTGTCTGTATTGACCAGGGCTTAATCAGGTCAACACACTGGAAAAGCTACAGAAAAGAATGTGTGCGATCGAGTGATGCAGCTTTCACTGATCTGGGCAAACCATCATGGTGCTATGTTTATATAGTGCTGAGATGGCTTGTCATCTCGATGGCCTAATGAGATTACACCACATGCCTGTTGGTGGCTATGAAAACTGCCAGTTGATCAGTTGTGGTGATCAATACATCTAAGTATTTCTCCTCTGCTTATATTGTGTAGGAATGGCATTTATCTGCGGGCGAGGCTTCACCATGTGTAGGTCAATGCTTGTGAGTTGTCCTAAGCATCAGTTGTCTTCCTACAATGTTCTAGCTCAATGTAACCAACACAGCTAGGCCGGCTGAATAGTTGGCCTCCTATGGTTCACAGGAAACTTGTCAAATCATAACTGAAAACACCCAATTGCTTGGAATTATGGTGGACTGCTTTACAGCTTGCCTTCCTTCCCATTGAGCTTTTGCCATCCATCAATTTAACCTGAAATTAACTTTCAACAGTAGCATCTAGTTCCAAAAAAAAACTCATTCACTCTTACGCATCAAACACTGGTGTCCCCCAAGCCTGGTCTCTTGCCAACTTGCGCCTAATACTTTCCAGAATTGGGTAAGCAGGATTGTGTCCCTCCGGGGAGAGAGAGCACATTCCATTCCAACAATCTGTCTGGGATTTCCACGTATGTGTAGGTGGGATGCATGGAATTCTCAGCTTGGTTTGGATACTCCAAGCACAGTGATGGGTTTCTGCTTGTGTCAGACACCTGGCTGACCCCCCAAAAAGAAAAAGATTAGGCTTGGCGTAGTCTTTCTCCATCCGTTGATCCCCTTCCCACATCCTGCAACTGTCAGAGCCCTGACCCACCCATGCTCCCCTCGTATTGTGAACCCCAGTGTGAACTGTCAGCAACTGAACAGAAAGTAAAAAAATGTTTTGAGCTGGCGTTTGCATTTAACAAGGTACGTGTGGTGTGAGAATCATTACAAAGCAACAGCTGAAGCTGTCTGGGATTCTTGTATGCTCACTGCAAGGAAATGAGCCTACACATTAGGGGTTTTATGGCTTGAATGCAGTGTGGAGGAGGAATCCCAGGCTAAGTGCATGTTGCACTGAAATGCAGCATCAGTGGTAACAGGAACTGTTATCAGATGAGCATCACAATAACAATAAATTATATTGCGCCTTTCACGGTGGGAGGATGTCTCAAGGTGCTGGCAGTTGGATTTGGAAACAAACAGGGACTTGGGATCTGGAGTGCAAGGAGGGTGGCCGAAGGCGCTGTCCAAGAGGAGGGTCTTGAGAAGGGCCTTGAAGGAGGGAAGGGAGCGAGGCGAAGGGGATGTGGAATGGAGTTCCAAAGGGTGGAGGCAGAGAGACTGAAGACCTGACTGCTGATAGTACAGGATGGGCAGGTGAACTGGCCTGTTCGCAGATCTCATTAAATTATTACTCTGCTGCACAGTTGTGTATCTTTCACTCACCTCTTGAGTCAGAAGCTTGTGAGTTTAAGCCCCACATCAGGACTTTGAGCTCAGTCTAGGCTGACGAGGGAGACCTGCATTTGACGGAGATGTTGTCCTTTGGGTGAAATGTTATACTGAGGGCTGGGTGGGAGATGGTAAATATCCTGTGACTCTACTTTGATTGATAAAGGAGATTATTTTGGTGTTCCGGCTAACAACACCTCTAAACAATTCACTTCAATGCAGTGTGGAAATTGATGCTGCATTTCCCTGCAAATTAAACACTCACTACACTACAATAAAATCATGTGATGATCCAGTGCAAAGCTTATCATTACTCATTTTATTTCCTCAATCCATGACTGTTTGTGGGACGCTGCTGTGTGCAATTGGCTGCCGGGTTTTGCCCACAAAACATACAGTCAATGCACTTTACAGTATATCTTGTGAAGGGCTTTGAGCTGTCCCGAAGACGTGATAAAGCGCTGTATGAAATGGAAGGATTATTAACATTAATAAGCAGCCTGACTGGACTGAACTCGTTCACTGATCAATATGCGTAGACGGCCAGAGACCTTTCTGTGGTGGCAGTAGGGCACTAACTTTTTGTGCCTCTTGGTGGCAATGTTGAACTTCAGGTGAATAAGGCAGAACAGACTATGGAGGAACAACAACTTACATTTATATTGTGCCTTCACATGGGGCAGCCTCTGAGCGCTTACCTGGTGGAGCTTGACTCCGAGCCGGGCAGGAGGTGACTGTAGGCAGGGTTGAAGAGGAAGGTGTTCAGGTGTGATCGAAGAGAAGCAGCTGCTCTCGCTGGCAGTGACGAGTGGTGTTTAGGAAGAGCTGTAACAGATTGAGACACAATATGAATTAGCAGGTGTTGCTGAAACAGGAAATTAAATCAACTGAGAACATTAATCATCTTGTGTCAACTCGACTTGTTTGGTAGCATTCTCCCCTCTGGGTCAGAAGCTACTGGTTCAAATGACTGTGTTCTCTGGATCTAAACTGATGTTCATTGCAGTCCTGGGGGAGTGCTAAGAGACACCGTTGTCTTAAATGTTAAACTCAGTTCCCATCTGCCTGTTTGGGTCAATGTTTGTCCCAGGACATTATTTGAAAAGAGAATGGGAGTATAATAATCCTAATAATAATCATTGCATTTGATATAATGCCTTATCATGTCTTCTAGACGTCTCAAAGCGCTTCACAGAATAAACTAAAGTGAATTGACTGTATATTTTGTGGGTGAATCGCAACAACCAATTGCACATAGCAGTGTCCCACAAGCAGTCGTGGATTGATCGACCAATTATTTTTTTTGGAGGGATTATTACCCTCGGAAAAACGATCCGCCAATTGACTGACATCCTACTTAATGCTAAGTAAAGTATCAGCGCTTTGGGACGTCCTCTCGACGTGAAAGGAGCTCTATAAATGTAATTTTGTTGTTGTTGTAAACAGAGGCATGTGGAATAAGGAAACTTGCCTAAGGTTTCACCCTTCCCTAGAACCAAACCTAGGTCCTCTCGCTTGCAAATATATTACGTTTCTCTCAGTGTCGTTGCCAACAATCCCCCAAATAAAATTGGCTATTCAGTTCGTGGCTGGTTGTGAGATATTGCTGTGTGCAAATTGACTGCTGCGTTCATCTAGAGAATGCACAGTCACTACACTTCACTGTAAAATCCTGTAAAGTACTTTGAGATGTTTCGACGATGAGATATATTGGAGTTCTGTGGCTCAGTGGTTAGAGCACTTGCCTCTCAAGCGAGAGACCTGGGTTCGATTCCTGACAGGACGAAACCTTGGGCAAGTTTCCTCAATCCACATGCCTAACATTAATCCCTCAAGAAAAAAAAACAATAGTAAATTGGTCCCTTCAATCCATGACTGTTTGTGGGACACTGCTGTGCGCAATTTGGCTGCTCCATTTCACCCACAAATATACAAAAGTCAATTCATTTTACAATATATTCTGTGAAGCGCTTTGAGATGTCTAGAAGACGTGAAAAGCGCTATATCAAATGCAAGGAATATTATTATATCAAATGCAGGGAATATTTTTGTTGTAAAATCCCTTTGTTTCTCTGAGGCCATGGCTCAGAAAATGAGGATTTTGTACAGTCAATTCACTTTACAGTATGTTCTGTGAAGCGCTTTGAGACGTCTCAAAGATGTGATAAGGTGGTTTATCGAATGCAATGATTATTATTATTATTATTGCAGTGAGGCTGCACTTTGACATAAAATGATAGATGGGAAGTGTTCACACAGCAGCTACTTTAACTGAAGTGGTGACATGTTAAGGACTTTGAAGACAACTTTCAGGCCTGATTTGCAACCTGCCAAGCATTGTGGCCACAGGCTTTCAGATAAACAAGCTTTTCGGAGTTCGAAACTGTCACACAGAGGAGGGAGGATACCAACAAGAAATGAATATTCTTGTTTGTAATATTCTTACCCATAGCTCAGTGGTTAAAGCACTCACCTCGTAAACTACAGGACCCGTGTTTGATTGCCAGTCAGAGCGAAACCTTAGCAAGTTTCCTTACTCTACACACCTCTATGTAGCCAACAGTAAGTAGGAACCCAGTTGTTAGTCGATTGGTGGATCGCTTTCCGGAGGTAATAATCCCTTCAATTAATTTTTTTTAAAAAATTATAATTTAGTCACACAATCCACCACTATTTGTGGGACACTGCTGTGCGCAATTCGCTGCCGCATTTCGCCCACAAAATACGTGATCAATCCACTTCCCAGTATATTCCGTGAAGCGTTTTGAGACGTCTCAAAGATGGTGGAGTCCTGTAGCTCAGTGGTTAGAGCACTCGCCTCGAAAGTGAGAAACCTGGGTTCGATTCCCAGCAGGACGAAACATTGGGCAAGTTTCCGTACTGAGTATATGCAGTCAATTCACTTTCCAGTATATTCTGTGAAGCGCTTTGAGATGTCTTGGAGATGTGATAAGCTGCTGTATCAAATGCAAGAATTATTATTATATATGTGTATATATAAGAAATGATCATAAATAACTGCTCCTGAACTCAGGCCAGGGGAAACGACATCGCAAGACTGGGTCAGATTTCCTCGTTTCAATTTATTCCATTAGTGCCACCTCCGACATGATCTACAACCTTTCCCCTCAGTGGCTTGTGTTTATATTCATGCCAGACAAAGATATCGCTCTATCTCTCTCAAAGAGATTACATTCTTGTTCTGTTTACAGTCTACCAACATTCCCTCCCTACTCCAAACATGCCGACTGTGTTCTGCTTCTCTTCCCTCCTGTGAGGCCTTCCGAACATTGTGTGTCTATCTGACTCTGTTGGTAAATCCTGTGTCGCAGTCAGAAGGTTGTGGGATCAAGTCCCACAAATCTACACTGATGCTCCGTTGCAGTACTGGGGGAGTGGGATATTTTTGAAGTGTAGTGACTGTGTATTTTGTGCTGCAGCCAACTTGC